TCAMSAAAACAGTTTGTAATTGCACTTCAGGCAACCGCRTGAATACAACATACCCCCACACGCTCCTACCGCAGTCYCGCGTCCTCGGGACTCGACAGATAAACAGATAAGGGAGATAAAGATAAAATAGCAGCAGTGTCGAGGAATAACGGGGCTGCTGGCGCTTTGCCAGCTTCGCGGGTCGGGCCCGCCACCGCGCCCGCCAACAAAACCGAGGRGGATAGCCCTGGCGGCCCTCAACCCCATCGGTTCCTTTTCTCGACGCTCTGCCGCAGTTGCTGCGCCAACGCCCGCTGATCTCGATCCCCGAACCTCCGTAGTAGTAATCCGATGCCGTAACCTATAGGGCTAAACCCAAGCCTGGTGTCGGTAGGCTCGAATTTCTAGATAAAGCGGTAGCGCCTGGTGCTCCGGGCCCAGGAATCACCCTGGGCCACTCTTCGGCCTGCCCCTGCACGCAAGGTCGCCGAAAGCCGCCGTCGATGCCGTCGTCCGGTCAGACGTACCAATCAACAGAAAGTATCTCAAAATCGTGCTTAATCAAAAATAAATAAACATTAATAATATCATTAAACAGTACGACCGATGTCCGCGCCGGATTTATGATCAACAACAGAAAAGAATCACGCGCGCCTTAAACCTGCGCGCCCACGCACTCGTTATTGCGGTCAACCACCCAGTCAAAGCAATTACTGACGCAGCCGCGCTCAGCGCGGTATACTTTGACTCTAGACCAAAACTATTTTCTGTCACTTGCAAAAACCAGGGCGGATACCCTTGTAAGGGTATTCGCACCGACAGCCTTACCGGACCATATTAAGCGACGTCCCCGTCGCTTCGCCAAATCTGAAAGCTATAAATCCATTCACACTCCAAATGCTGACGAAAGAGGTGAGTTAATCCGATTAGCCGACAAACGCAGGGTAGAGGTCTCCATCAAACCATGCCTTCACAACTATATGGTGCCAGGTTTCTAACCTGGGCCTCACACCGTCCAGAAATTAGGACACTGGCAGCATAAGTTTCAAAGACCTTCCCAATCGTCCTCTCCCCGGTCCTATACAACCTTCGGCTTCTCGTTGGGTGTCCCTGGTCGTGACAAAAACTAGGGACGCGGGCCTTAACTGAGACCTTTGAAGGCACTCTCGCCTTCCTTCTCAAAATCTCTCGCAATCAAATACATATAAGTATATATGTAAACTCAATATCCACTCCGCCCTTTCTGCAGTCTAGTACAGAAAGGTCAGGTCTCCATCTTGGCCTATCATAGCCTGGTTGATCGGACCAGGACTACGGCCTACCGCATTGTTATTTAACGGCAGTACCCTCGTTGGTTACGCAACGATAGGGTTTCTCTTGATAGGCACTCAATCAGGACCTCCCAAAATCTCAACCTTCACTATCCCACGGAGTAATTTCCCTGGGGCGGGTAACTCCCCTTAAATTCTTACCCCGTGGTCCCGCAACCAGGTTGCGCCGGTTAGCAGTCATCCAATGGGGTTACGCCCTAGAGGTACTAACTCCTTTTCCGTTAGCTTGGCCTTTCTTCAATATGTCTCAGAATTAGCATCAGTGGTTAAACGGGTGCGTCAAAACAAAATCACAGGCCCACTGCGCGATACGCAGGGGTCCGAAGGCATTTACTAGCCCTCCTTCAATAGGCATGGCCTCCTTCGCACGCTTACAAGCAAAATCACCGCTAAATCCACCAGGCCGTGACCCCTGACTTGATCAGAGCCAGCAGCCACCCACCCTGAGACATCCCTTGCCCTGTACTCATTGCGACTTTCTCAAATATTTTAAACAAAAAGTGGTCCCTCTCCGTCAGACTTTATCACCCATCGAACAACTCATCATGCCATAAATCAATTTACTCACTTCTGAGGATGAGTCTTTCAACCAAAAACCACTCCCCTTTTCCAACAATCCAAAAGGGGCTCTCTTCATAACCAAAACACCCCCTCTTCCAAAAATCGCGAGGGGTCTTGCCATAAAATAATACATTCCCTCTTCCAGAAATCACGAGGGTTTCATCATAAACAAAACACCTGCTCTCTCAAAATCATGAGGGGTTTCGTTACATCACAAAACATCACAAAACATCACAAAACATCCCCTCCCTTTTCCAAAATCTAAGGGGGTCCCATCATAAAACAGAACATCACTGAGAGACCATCTTATGGGTCATCATCACAACTTAGATAACTTTCACAGACGGACTGCGCTTCCTCCCCTTATACTCTGCCTTATCAGCTGCCGTGGGCAGGTCGCACAAGTATACCGAGGAGTAGACAATTTTACTTACAATCATATTCACAATACCCAAGATACATAAAAGGTTTTTCACACATTGTCCACACAAACTCATCATACATCAGCGTACAACTAGACATGTGAGAGAGACAAGTGATCGTCACATATAAGAATGGTCCCTGAAGGAAACCTCATCATAATATACACTCAGGGAATACAATGTCTCATACA